GTAAATTTATTTTACCTATGGAATAAATAATCTTTGACTTTGACTTTGACTTTGACTTTGACTTTGAAATAAATAAAAAAAAATAAAAAAATAAAATGATCCTTACATAAAACTTTAGTCTATCAGCTTTGAAATAAAAAAAGTTTATTTTATTCATTATATATGAAAAACATTTGATGAAATATGACCCACTTCTGCTGCCCCGGTTTTTTCATTCCGTACAAGGAAATGATCTTTACATGAAACTAAATCGATGAGCTTGATCATATTTACACATTTATAAGCATAACTCACACTTGATAAAAAAACTGACTATGCCAAAATTGTTTTCGTAAGAAAAGTTTTAATGGTTCTAATGATTTCCCCGTACGGTCCCATTTAAACAAACACTGTATAAACCTATTGCAGGGAGATCTATATTCAGTAATATATACGCTCATGGTATTAAAGATGTTAAAACTCTAATTACAGGGTGAAGATGGCACTGCCGGTGGCCAGACGGTGTTGCGGGTTCCTATCTATGGACACAGGCTGCTTCATTTATTGTATTATTTCCATTGTAAGTATTCAACATTGTTTTGAGTTCAAATCAAAGCAATTAAAGATTTGAAAAAGAGCGATGGAAGCCCTATGTTTCATAGGGCCCCTCGATTCTTAATTGTTTCTTGGTTGGTTAATGTAAGTCTAGTAAGTTTCTGTTTGATCCAGAAATAGAGTCAGTTGTATTGATATTAGACAGTAATGAAATAGAAGGTACAGAAAATAATTTATAGCTATAATACGTTACGAGAACACAGAATGCCTAATTATAGCACAAGTTGATAAATAGCTTAAATAAATATTTGAGTAATAAATATGAATCGTTTATGTTTCTTGTTAGCAATGGCTTAGATCTGACTAATTTCAAAAAGGCTGATAAACTCCTAAGGATAAAATAATGGGAAAGAAGGAAGCGAAAGACGTATGTCATAAGCTTAGTGGGTACAGTTCTATAGTCTCTGCCTAGTCCTTAGTCCTACAGGGAGACATAATGAGAGATAATGATAAATATGCCAAACCGCCACACCGGTTACCTGGTCTCAAAGTAGGGAATTCCCTGCACTATGAATACTACAGCATTTGAATTCGCTACTCCGAACATCTACACCAAAAACAATTTAAAAAATTCATTTAATCAAATTAATCCTACCGGGAATCGAACCCGAGACTTCGTAATCCAGCACCCACAGTGCAATGCGTTGGGCCGTTAAGTCGTCAGTTGATGCATGTATGTCGAGTGTCCTGCCTCCTGAATCATTTAATGTTTATTTTATTGTGTCGTTTATAATGCGTTTCTTGTGCTGAATAAACATTAGCAACCAAATGGGATAATCGTATTTGCTAAGCGTGTATGTATTCTGTAATGGAAGCAGTTTAAGGCAGTACATTTTTCTGAATAACCTATGAGGTTATTGACGTCATCTCAGATATAGGCCTCTGCTAATGTCGATCAGTCTTCAGCTTGTCGCTTCCACGCGGTGCCAGCGGCCTTTCGCAGATGGTCACACCATCTACCCATTATACGAGTATATATATCTGGTCAGTCCTATACTATGTTTGCCGAGTCGGGATCTCCACTCAGGAACTCTCTTCCCCCATCGGTTATCAACTTGTCGATAGATATGGCGAGCCCACTGTCAATTATTATGGTTAATGCGTAAGATGGATATTAATCCTCACCATGGTTGCGGAATTTTATAGAACCCATTTCTTCTGCAGACCTCATAAACATTGACTTAAAATGACGTTACTAAAGCTATAATTTATTTTTTTAAATAATTTGAAACCTAGTTGTAATATTTCTTCTTGTGCACTTATTTATTTCAATCATTTTTAATACGTTCGTGCCCATTCATAGCACTCTACATATTGCATTCCCTTGCGAAGGAATGCTGCGCTCTGTGAGAATGACGTCATAAATGGAGACATCATTGTTATGCTCGGCAGACAATCCATTTAACACGTACTTCATTGCTGTCACATTCTAGTTGAAGTATTATTTATTATTATTGTAGAATGACATGTCTTTATGATTGTCGAGGGACTGTGTATTCTCAGATACGCCGTAGAAGAGGTGTAAATACGACTCAACCACAGTGGTAATAAATATACTTCCGGACCACGTATTTTCATTATGAAATGCAGTAAGCTTAAAAAACGTCTTTGATCAAAACTATTATGCAATTTTGAAACTGGTATTTTTGGTTGTGAATCTTTATTGAAACCGGGGAAATACAAACATAGCACCACTTTGCGACTAAATAACTGTCTAAACTATCTTATTATAGAGCCTTATATTATAGTATTAAGAATGCATAGAGCCTTATATTATAGTATTAAGAATGCAGTATAAAATCTAATCCACCGATCATATAGCTATATTATCACATGCTACTTGACCAATCACGTAAGTCTAACATCACGTGATAAACAGTAACAAATCCTACTAACCAATGGCTGTAATTGTCACTATTACAATTACTTACGTTCAATTAAATTAAAATGTCATCGAACAGATAATTTTTGAGTTTACATTTTTTTCTTTTCTCAATTGTTAATTCCAGGTGCTGTGTCTGTGTGCTATGGGCGTTGGTTCTTGGAAGCTGCCGCGGCACAGAGAACAACGCAACGAAGACAATATGATCCTCATGAGCTACGTCATGTTCTCAACCCTATCATGCATCAGCAACTTTGTAGCTATCGTAGGGATTATAAGGGTAAGCAAATACATTACCAACGCAGACTTTCTTCAGCAAAGAGCATTTTCCATCACCTTGTGACGTCAGTCGTAGTAAAGCTACAATCAAATATCAGATGCTACAAAAGTTAAATTTGCTGGAGCAGCTGTGGTACTGGACATCTTCCCCATAAATCCGTTATGCAAGAATTGTTCAACTTTCCAAATCAGATGAAAAATCTGATTATGTTCCCTGTACAAGCTGTCGCTACCAACAATATCACAGAAATATTTAATCAAAAAATCTGGTTTATAGAGTAGATTGAAAATAGACGATTCAGGAAATACATAATGGATGTGCAAGCAAAACCATTTTTGAGTACTGCACGAATGTCTACAGTATAAGTGTGGGATCCCTACCTGGTGGACTGTAGACGAAAAGAACCAGACAGAATATAGATCCTGCAACCCTTAAGCACATTGTCCGTAATGTATTCTACAAGACTACGAAAGGTAGGCTATTTATTATATCAGAAGGTATTTTCGAATCGACGGAGATTTGCCTCTACGGGAAAGTTGTTGCCGGAGTCTGAAACCTCAATCTCCAACGAATTAAGAGCACCTGACAGCAGGCACTAGGTGCGACCCTTACTACTGTAACAGTTTATCAACTACATTACTCAGTTGAGAACTTGATTTGGATTTCAGAAACGCTCTAGCTACCTGCAAGTGTCGCTGCTGACGAATTCCGTGTTCATTTTATGCATCTTCCTGGTCGTAGTGGTGACGTGCCTCTTCAGCCCCACTCTTAAGCTATACACTGCAGAGGCAGGGTATATCGTGCTTATTATACTGCTTGTTGTTGCTGGATTTGGTAAGTATTTTTAAAGTATCACAGTGAAATGTCCATTCTCAAATCCCTATTTAACTCGTCTGCAACCAGAGCTTGCTACTGGTATTTTTTCATCTTGAGACCTGAATGGGACTATTTGGAAACCGAGATATTTACCTACATTGATACCAATACCACAAAGTCAGTGAAACCGTTTCTTGAAAATACAGGTACAATTTACACCGGCACTGTAGCAAGTTTAGTGGTATCGTTTCCTGAAATACTGATATTCCAAACCCTGTCTGCTTCATCAGTCCTTCATTATTACTATGACAGGTATCTACAAAGTTAAAAACCATAATAGATACGCTTGGTACTTTTGGCTGGAGCGTCTCCCTGTAGGCAGTTAAGCAGCAATTCGATACAACAGAAGAAGCGTTGTCTAGTGTGTTCTTGTAGTCCTTGTATGCCCAGCTAGCCAAGTGGCTATTATGTCGAAATCTTCGTCGAGTGACTGTTGATTTGGAACCTAGTTTTGTACCTGCCAAAATATCGTGTGTCCAAAGTATTCGACGGGTTTCATGATTGAGATAACGCCGCGTGTTTTTTCACACCCACGTCATTATCCAAGTAATTAAACCATTAAAAATATTCTGTTGGATCCACATTTTCCGAAAGCCTACGGGAACTGGAATAATAACAAAAAATTAATCTTTCCAAGGGCGTGCCACCGTCAAGGACTTTTTTTGATATCTAACTGGAGACGCTTTGGCGGCCAGCCAGGTTTATTTTCGTTCATTTGTGACAAATATTATTCAATACTAACACGAGAATAATACGTTGAATTGGGGCCAGATGGACTTATTTTATTTAACAATTTAAATTAATCAGTGCAAAAAAAATTATAATTGTTTTGTAAGTTTTAATGTTTATTTGGCATTAACACACCTACTTAATATGCTAAAAATAATAGAGCAAAAATGTATAAAGCAACATTACTCTAGGAGGAGATTGTCATGTATTGTATTCAAGATGCTGGCAAAACATCTCCCTTTCTTCTTCTTATCGTATCCATAGCATAAGCTCTAATGCAGTAAGCATTTATAATATATCGTAGTGACAGGATTTGCCAATTAAGGTGTAGTTAAAGAAATATTATGCGCACCGATGAATGTTATCTCTTGGAACGACTTATTCTTTCTATTACAATAAGGTAATAAAACCATTAACTTTTACTTAAAACATACATGGACTTAACGTCTCTGATTCATGGTACGGGCCGTGGATGTGTTTTATGATTTATCTGAATTCAAGTTTTGAATTATTTACTTCCTTACATCAGATAGTTTTTTTAACTATTAGGTTTTTTTATAACATCAAGTGACTGTCTGACTGACTGTCCATATTTTTATATCTTATATACTTAGTAAAATACCGTAAAATAAATATTGCCAAGTTTAGAATTAAGTGCCAATACGCAAAAGTGTTTAAACTAGTTGTTTGTTCCATGCAGATAGCACGCACGTTACCGAGACGGCTCACTCTTTTGTAACAGATGAAGCGATAAGATGAATTCGGTTCAAATAATACTTCGCCAACTACACTCGCATTAAATCGGTTATAAAAAGCTTTATATCCGTGCAGTAAGAGCGAAAAATGCGTTGCGCGTTTCACTTCCATTTCTAATTCTGATTTCGCGTTAATGATGACTCTCTTAAAGTGAGGATTACCTCCTGTGACATTCAAAGCAGTATTCCCAACCCAAAAGAACGAAAACATTATTTGCCTCTTCGTAGAAACTTACAAGGTAGTACCATGGTGTGACATAGACGTAAATTTGAGTCCTGTCACATCGAAGAAATCTTTCTGTGTTCGATCTTTGCATTAATAATTATAATAGTAAATATCATTATAGTAAATATCGTAATATTCAATAAAATCATAACTCTTATTTTAGAGACGTTGAAAAAAATTCGCTGCTACGGTCAATAACATTCACTCTTGTCTTTTCCAGTGTATTCCGTGTATTACCTGATGATACTGAACAGTATGTACTGCAAACTTAAAATGACGTTTAGTGACAGTGCAATACCAGTCTAGACCTGTGTCTCATGTGACAACATGTTGTATCTGTGTTCACCAGTGCTTACTGTCTCCACAAGGAACTTGACGCGACGGAAAGATTCTTCGTGAAGGAAAACTGGTGACTAAACATTCTTGAAGCCGGACTACTTGCAGATGTGAGATTTTTTAAAAGTACCTACATTGAGGAAAATGTAATGTCTGTAGAGAAGAAATGCAATATTTTCAAGAGAAACAGTGCTAAGTATGATTTATGCGGGGAACAAAATAAACTGGTTGTTTTTGACAGTGGTTATAAAATGACACATTCTTTTAATGAATTGTTATATAAATAAAATCCTTATTAAGAGGATTGTGAAGTTATCGGTCGCTATAAAAAACCGGAAACGTTTTTATATCATATTTTTTAATCAAAGTTTTGCTATTTATAAATTTTAATTAATTAAACTTGAATGACAAATATCTATGGTAGTGCTCCGATAAGCTCTTTCAGGTTTCTAACCAGATATGACGTTTTTAAATGCGCACAAAAACTAAATTTTCAAAGAGCCTAAAGTTTTTTTCTCGTTTTTGTCTACCTTACGAAATTGTTTGAAGGTTTAAAGTGCAATTTGATTAAAATCAGAGTTCGCAATGATAATAATCATTGATATTTATTATAAAAATTAATTAATTAACAGATGCTATCACTTGCAATGCCATGCCATGTGTTTTATATCAGAGACCACAGACCACACAAATACTAATGTCAAAGACGTATCCAAACGTTTCAAATGTCAATCCCAGTTAGTCACCAACCATTTGGTTTTTTCAACAATTTCTTGTCGTGCTTATATAGCTTTTTCATTGTTTATCATTTTTAGTCAAAAATTAAAGAGATAAAACTATCAATAATCAGCACGAATAATTATCAAAGAAAATAAATATCTTGATAAATTTGAACCTTGATTAAAATAAAGATATTTTTGGAGAAACAAATGATATTACATAAGAAATCGACACGAATTCTAACGTTCCTGTGTTTCTCGTGTGGAAGACCCATTACCTGTAACATCCCTCACGGCCAGTGGCGTTTCATGGTAGTCTAAATGTGCCCAGCCTATTTTTTTTTCTACAATTGTCGATAGTCACTGCGTGACCTAGGCCATGGACGTTTTGTTCAATAATACATATAATAAACTACTTCGTGCTAATGTCGACAACGCAGTTTGGTAAAAATAGACATGTTGAATGCAGATGGACGACTCCTATTATTCTCTATGGCCTACTAGAGAGTCTACGTTGTTTTTAGACTAGTTAAAATATTTCAACAATTCCTGTTATACTGTACAACAAGCGCGAGAACTACGAGATCACAAATTTGCAATTTGAAAATTGTGTTGATATTATTAGTGCCATCTAGCGTAATAGTTTCGTACTACGTGCAAGGAAAGTTACAAGTCTAGTCAGGGAGGGAGTTTGAATACCATTCATGCATCTAGTTTGCTCAATTGACGCTAGGTAGTGTTGTACTTTTTTAAATTTAATAATGCTATGGTACAGGATATTAATTCGTTGCATTGATTTCGCGCGCTTTAGGATTTATTGAGAAGTATTAGCTGAATAATTTTAATTTTAATGTGCTACTTATAAATATTTTTGGAATAAAAACAACATTTTACCATGGTTTTGCCATATAATTGGATTGATGGTTATTTTAGAATGTTTTTTCCACCTGAAGAGTGGCAACCCTAAAGTCGATAAATCTGAACCCATAATTATGATGTAAACATTTTTTCCAAATAACTTGCGCCTTTGCGAACATGTCTGATGTACTGTACCATCTTGCTAGTACCAACTGCATCCTGAAAGTGTTATTATATTGTACACGTAGCGCGTCGTCAGCTCGTTTCGTATACTTAATTCACAGGTAGCTCGATTAAAGTAATTTTAATGTCGATGGAGCATCTCGCGAACCTGCGGGCCAGCACATAGCATCTCACTGACAACGACCTAAGCTTTCCATACTTTGATCGGAAAAAGGAGTTCCACATATTTAGACACATGTGTAGATATAGATACAAGGAGCGACGTAATGTTGTTAAAACCACTAAATATTAATTAATTACTTTTACGAATGATGGATTCCGGAAATGGTTTTACTGCATCGTTGGACAAAACTACTGACTTAGGAAGTCGAAGTTGGATTTTAAAGTAATACTAATGATGTATTTTATAGTAATACTAAGAATGCGGTTTCTAAAGCTAGGGAGGGGCGGAGATTGTCCATTCTCGTTTCTTTTTTTCTCCGCTTTGGTAAAAGGTCGGTAATTCGAAAAAGTAATTAATTAATATTTGGCGATTTGATGATGATGTATCTAGATATATTTGTGGAACACCTTTTTCACGTGAATCATTTTAGTATGTAAACAAGATGTTGAGTACAATCCCGCCAAGAATGACTGAAGGTATGAAGTAAGGCCATTATTATCATTACAATTTCTTCGAACCCTACAAGGTTGTAATGATTGTTTTCTGGCCCTATTAATGCGAAGCCGTGTAATGACTTTCTTACCTACTATAAAAATGTGAAATACCAGCCGAATAAAGAATATAATAGAAGCTGATAGACACAGAAGAAGACTCAGAACATGTTGTTACTGATTCTTCACCACCGTTGTATAATGTTAAAAGAAATGTTATTTATTTAAAAAATTAAGTGCCTAGATAAGTATTAACTAAGAAATGTAAAACTATTACGCTTATCTATTCTATAAGTGCTGTAAGTGTTATGTCTAAGATTGATTTATTGTAATTACGAATGTTTTTATTTACAATTTAATGTTACAAGTGGTGCCTTATATGCATCGAGGTTATAAGCCTCTATGTTCCTTTTTGATATCAAATTTGAACACGTGTGATCAGGACCCAATTCAGAACTCTTCCTACTTAGTTTGAAAGCGTCAATGTTGTCCTGTCACTTTATAATCTCAGTACAATTACGTCTATTTGCTAAGTTTTATTGAAATATCCCCTAGTTCGCCACTATACAGGACTTGACACTGGAGATAATAAAAAATCGGTTCTCACTACTCAAGGCATGTTGAGAGAAAAACGCCTTGAATTGGAGAAATAGCAAAATCAACCATTGAAGTAATTGCTCCTAAATAATTGTTAGGCGCTATTTATGAAAATGAATCTTCATGCGTGAGTGGCTGCTCAATACCCCTTCGAAGTGGATGATTTTCTTTAAAATGAAATGGGACCACTATGGAAGTACTCCCTTTTCAACAAAAAAAGAATCATGACAATCGGTTCACAAATACCGGAGTTATCGCGTAACATACATACAAAAAAAACATACAGTCGAATTGAGAACCTCCTCCTTTTTTGAAGTCGGTTAAAAATTAAATCGTATATGAATGACACATAAATATAGCAAAATTTTGGAGATAAATTATTAATAAAACGCAATTTTGAGATAAAATATAATATAACGCAATTTTTGTGATAATACTGTGTTAGTTGTCAAGTGCGAATTGTGTACTGAATAATTAAATATCGAAATTTAGTTGCGTAATTTAAGCTTATCATATTTTTTCAAATCAAAAACAAGTTACCTTTGGTTAGAAGACATTGGTAGAAAAAGTAGGTTTTGCTTTAAATAAATATACAGGCGTCGGCTATGGAACACGAAGGGAAAGTAGTACTTTAAAAATTGTAGATATTTTTTTATAATACCTACTGACGAACATCGTACGCCCGGTGGATAGCGACACGTCTGTCCATAACAGTTGCAGTCCACTCAGAGCTTTAAATCGCAATGATCCGAGGTGCACTGCCACTGCGCCCGTTACCCTGAGACATAAGTTAAAAGTCCCATGTGACAGTAATTTCGCCGGCACCTCTACGCTTCAAAACCGAAACGCAGTAATGCTGACATAACTGCTTGGCGGTAGAAATAGGTAAGATGGCAGTACTTACCTGGACGAACTCTGTCACAAGGAGCTCTACTGCTATTAAAAACTTAGAAACTTTAGAAAAGTACGTTTCCCAAAATGATGCTACTGGGAATTGAACTCATATCTTTCTTATCACAAACCTAAACGCTAGGCCACTAAAATTGTCATGGGTAATTTTCAAGCTAGATTCTCTACCTAATTTTCGTGGCAATTTTTATTATTTGAATATTCTAGATTAATATGAGGAAATATCATTTTATATTTCATGTTAATATATTAACATAGAGATATAATAGAGATAATAGATAGATAGATTACGCGTTTATTTGCTGAATCACAGTACATTACAAACAAGCTTATGACATAGGTACAATGGTAATCATAAAGAAAAAGGCTAGTCTAGGTTTGCGGGTATGGTCTGGAGTGTTATAATGTATCAGGTGTAGAGTTGAGGGTACGGTGTCAGTAAAACTACGACGCTGATGATTCTGCCAGGTCCCAAGGTGAGCCGGTAAAAAAGAAGTAACTCAGAATAGAGAATCCACACGGAGTTAGAATGTAAGGTATGTAGGTATAATATTAATTGTATAGGTGAATAAGTTATTATATAAGATATAAAACGTGGACAAAGAAAATTAAAAAAAAGTGAAAGTGTAAATGTGTCAGTTGTGTGGTTGTATAATAATTTGTATAAAATGAAACTGCCACCGAAATTAGTAGAGAAAACAAGCCTGCAAATTACCATTAGATGGTTATATACACTCGGAAGCGCACACGTATGTCTTCCACGCTATTATTCCTAGATGTTATATATGTATAGAGTGACTGTGTAAAGAGTGTTATTGTGCAGGGTGCGCCTGACGTACAGGATGCAATGGTACGTGGCGCGAGGAGACTCCTTTCATGCACGTAATGTAAATAAATGAAAATTCATTCAATCGAATTCATTACAATAATTTCCTAAACTAACTTTAACCCCTATTCCAAAGCTATAAACTGTAGTTACGGGTTATGGTAGTGACGTAACTTAATTAAGACCGGCGTAATATATGAGGCGTGCGGAGTGGCCAACATTGTCTTCGGGCCATTGTTTTGGGACACGGGTAGCGCAATTAGCATCAAAATGATATTGTGATCTCGGTGCTTATTGTATTTAACCCCGGTATGGAATCACTACGCAAACTATGATGCGTAATAATATATTTATGTTACGTGGCATTCGCTGGTTCTTAACCCTAATTCGCTGAACCCGACCGACTGTGTTACCGCTATGCAATACCGTAATAAATTCTCAGGTATTGGTGATTGTTTGAAATTGAAGTGATTGAAAATTTTATGAAG